CGGGTCCGGTTCTGAGGAAGGGTCACTGGACCCGAAACGTTAACTCTGTTTTTTCCTTCACAGATGCTGCCAGACCTGCTGGGCTTTTCCAGCAACTTCTGTTTTGTTTCCTTCATTCCAATGTACTAATTATAACCCTCAATAATCAACCTGGTGCAATGAAATACAGGTTTGTGCATTGAGTGAAACAAAAAGAATTTTTCTTTTAAAGTATGACCTAAGATTAATTACAATGTGCTGAGTAATGGCAGTTAAAGGAATGCAGACTTTATCACTTACAGTTGGCACATTAGAGGTGATGTAATTTGCTGCTATTTCAGGTGGATGGTAAAACCAAAAATAAAACTAACTAGTACTACTTAAAATTTAAAAAAACAAACAAACTCCACTTAGCAGATGCCTTATTTAAATGTGAATAGTTCCAGCAGATGCCTTTCATAAATGTAAACAGTTGTGGGGAATTTTAACACTTAGATAATCAAACTTTAAGGAGATGGGAACAGATAATTAAAACTGCTTGAAGACCCGATTTGTCCCAAAGTCAGCAGCCTTTTAAAACAAGGCCTGTATACTAGGTACAATTAACAAGCTGATTAAAACTGAATATCTGATTTGCTGAACCTATTAAATTAGTAAGTACAGTGTAAATACATACTGAATATGGCCCCAAATAACTGATCTAAAACAATATAATGACTTTTAGAAGCTAAGGTAACTTTGTAATGAATTCTTATGCTTATAAAGAAAACAGTTAACTCTATTTTCTTGCTATAACCCACTGCTCATCATAATTGGACCATATGACTAATAGGAACAGCAGTTCTCTGTGCATTATATTAGCACGATGAAAAGCCCTAAATTGCTACATATGATGGTTTTTGTTGGCATGCAGTCCCTGTAAATGAGCACGGTTTTTTTTAAACCTCATTCATTCACAACAATGTTGGCAAGACAAGGGTGCATTTATTGCCCATCTATAATTGCCTTCAATCTAAGTGCCATGTTAGGCCACTTCAAAGGGCATTAAGAATCCACTGCAGTGTGGAATGGGTGTCACAAATTGGTTACATTGTATGAGGTTAGGTTCTCTGTCCTGAAGAACAAGAATCTAGCCACTTCCTTTGGTCATCATAATTGTCACTTGTGATTCATCCATTTCACACTGAATTGTGTGCTCTGCCATGTGAGCCACCATTACTTTTGAAAGCTTGCTTGTGAAACTCTGTGTTGAGGCCCAGTAGATGAAGTAATCAACCTTTATTTACTTACTGTGATATGCATGGACACAGTATCAGCACGGCTGCCTATTCAGTCTCCTCTTATATTATCCAACTTGTACTGGTCTTTGTTTAAACTTGATAAATATGTAGTTCAAAGCAGGTGAACATATGTCTACAATAGGAGCTGTGATATTACACTAGAAAAGGTAAAACTGGTGACCAAAGACCCTAACATTTGTTTAGCATTTTTGGCTAGAAACAACTACGTAGGGGGTTTACAAGTACTCAGTTGGATATGTGCATTTGATATTTGCATCAGTGTTGCCTTTGGCTCAGCATCCATCATATATGCTTGGTATTAGATTAAACTTTTGCAAGGCATCCCTATGATAGAACTGAGAGTTTAATTTATTACAACATTCCCTTCTGTTCGATTTAATTTAAATTCCATTTAACACTGCTTACCTTTGCTGCTCGCATTAAAATTTCTCTTTCTTGTTCATCTTTTCTCTGCTTTTCTATTTGATCTAGTTGTTCAAAGAACTTGAGCTGTGACTTTACATCATTTAACTGCTCATACCTGTCGTCCTCCTGAAATCAAAAGGAAATCTGAAATGATTTATCGTTTGAGAAAGTAGTGAAGTAATTCTTGCACAGAAACCTTGACAAGCAGACTGCCTTATCACCACTTTCCTGTATTATGCAAGTTTGTGAAGTGCAACATTCCAAATCAGCAAACACCTCAGTTAAAGCCTCAGTGGTAGGCACTGCTGCTTCACAATGCCAGGAAACCAGGTTCGATTCCAGCCTTTGACTACTGTCTGTGTGGAGTTTGCACATTCTTGCCGCATCTGCAGGTACTCCGGTTTCCTCCCACAATCTGAAGATGTGCATGTTAGGGAGACTGGCCGTGCTAAATAGTCCCTAGTATCCAGGGATGTGCAGCCCCTGTGGATTAGCCATAGTAAATGAATGGAGGGTTATGGGTCTGGGTGGGATGCTCTTTGGAGAGTTGGTGCAGACTCCATGGGCTGAATGGGCTCTTTTTGCACAGTGGGGATTCTATGTTCTATAAATAACCAAATTTGTGCTGAATAAGGGAAAAACTGTTCTGCGCACTGTCCTTCTATCCTTTCACTGTCCTTTTATCCTTTCACTGCTACCCTACTTCTAATAATAAATGATGTAGCAAAAATAATTTACTGTTAAATTCATTTTTTTTCATTTTAGGAATAAGCAAAGTGTATTTATAGTGACACCCACTAACAAAAAGAATCCTTGAAACCATCATTCACATGTGAGTTAGAGATAGTAGGAACTGCAGATGCTGGAGAATCCGAGACAACAAGGTGCAGGGCTGGATGAACACAGCAGGCCAAGCAGCATCATAGGAGCAGAGAGGC